GTGTCGTAATGCGGTCGGAGCTGCCGTATATTCCTCGCATGGTGAGCGTGCAACGCTGCAGATGTCCTGATCCGTTGCGTTCCAGTTGGAGATCTCTTACTAGTTCCGACTCAACCAATGAGTTCGGTGCGAAAGGGTCAATCATTGCGCGGACCAAATGAAGGTGGCTCCGTGCTTCAATCCGCAAAGTTTCATACATAGTATGTTGTAATGCGATCAAAGCATACAATTTTGCAACTCTACAACCCTTATAGGAATTCGCCTAATCTAGTAAATTTAAGAATCTAGAAGATGAAAGCTTAACTACAATATTTATAGCATTTTTAAAGTCAAAACTCAAAGGCAAAGCGCGTGATGTTTTACCCAGTCAAATAATTTCGATTGCTCAAATTAAAGATGCGCTACGCTGCACAATCAAACCAGATAATTCCAAAGTTGTCTCTGGCAAAGTCGCGTCGTTGCATATTTCTAACATCAACTATTCTGATTTCGCAAAACCAGTAGAGGAATTATCTCATGCTTTAGAGCGATCTCTAATTATTGAGGGTGTGACTCAAGCAAAAGACCATGAGTTAGCGGTAGAGAAAACAGTAAACGTTTGCAGGCTGAACAGTCGTTCAGAACTAGTAAAATCTATTTTTGCAAAAATTATTGTAGAACATAATAATGAAGTCAAAGAGCGGCAGGTGTTATCTTTGAAGTCACGGGCAAACAAACCAAATAGTTTTCGACGAGGTTTTAGAGGGCACAACAACTATAGCTGTCACTACAGCCAATGCCGTATTTAGGGGAGAGGGGGGCAGGGGGTTTTAGGTGTTCTGAAATGTAGGATTTTAAGGCACTAAAAAGTTGGAAAAAGGCAAACTGAGCTTTGAAAAAAGGCATATATTTTTTAATTTTGTTATGTACTTCCTTCACGTACAATGTGTATGTCCAATTAAAGATATTAAAAAATACATACAGTGGTAAAAAAATTATAGCCGAACCATTGGTTATTTTTTTTTATAAAAATATAGTTCATTCTTTAACAAAACCCGTGTAAATCCAAGTTTCAAAATTTGCGCAATATTTAAAAAAAAATTCAACAAACTTTCGTAAAAATTTCGAGCTTTTTTAAAAATTCTAAGAAATCAATCGTAGTTTTTAGCCATTTGAAACTTTTACTCTATTCTACTAGAATTCAATGGGCTGCCAAACTGCATACTCAGAAACTAATTAAAAAACTCGAAAATTTTACGAAAATTTGTTGAATTTTTTTTTTTAATTGCATACATTTTTAAGTCAGTGGCACTCGATGGGTACATTTGTACAGATTGGTACATTTTTATATGGGGCTCAGTCTCCGACTAGCCCTCTTGCGATACGGTTGTGCTACGCTTGTTGATTGCAATTTCTTTTTCGCCCTATTCGTTCGTGTGCAGTGTACACGCGATTATTATTTATTACTTTGTGAGAATTAAGACAAGCTACTTAGCTCTTGTGTGTGATCTAATTGACAATGGTCCCAGGGGCCTTCAACTTTGGTGGGCGTCGCACAAAGATGGAGCGCACCGGCGTAAAGTTAATGTAACGAAAAATATGAATTAATAAAAGACACAGTGGTTTTAGTGCAATGAAATTAAGGGTCGTTTTATTTGTAATTATCGATGCGTGTGAATAATTGGGCACACAAGAGTTGGCTTACCGAACGTGGTGTGATAGCTGACGTGATCTCCGTGCTGTCTTCTAAGAAGTGAAAAAGTGCTAACAAACGAAAAGGGATGTAGCCCACCGCACAGTTCGTTAAGTTTCCCCTCAATTAAGTTACCGTACAGTGGGGCTTATTGTTAGCGGCTGGAAAGTTAGCTGTAAACTTATATACGTGTTTGTGTGCTCTTACATCAAGTGACAAAACGCGTATTAGGGTGGTGCAATATATTTAGGTCGCGGTCCTAAACATACCGGCCCCTTGCGGTAAGCAAGCTGTGAAAAAAAGGAGTCGCGTCTCAAATGTCACACGCACGTGGGGAAAGTCTTATGGTATTCAAATATGTAGAGCGGAGTTTGTACTGCGCGGATCTGCTTATTCGCCCACGCTTTCGTCGCGACCGGCTGAACTGAGGCTGTGGAGAAAAGGACATCGTTAATTGAAACAGACGTGGTTTAGTATTTCAATGCACTTTTTATTTAGATTTTAAGGTGTGTGTGTGTGATGAGTGTGTGTGTATGTGTTTTTTGTTTTCTTAATCTCTACGTTTATCGTTGGCAGGCTCCCGAAACAACCAGGCCGTGTATCGTCGCCTGGACCAGCAGGCCACCCACGGTAGACGGGGGGGTCCCGCTCACCATCATCTCCGCATGCAAATCGAGGCCTAGTGTGAGGCGTATTGGTGACGTGCGAAAGAATTGCGGATCCGCCAATCGCATGTACTGGAAGGGGGCCGCAACCTTAGGGTCCAGGTTCGACGGTGGACTCAGGCGTATATGGTGGTCCAGCACGACTGCTTGTGTCGTAATGCGGTCGGAGCTGCCGTATTTTCCTCGCATGGTGAGCGTGCAACGCTGCAGACGTCCTGATCCGTTGCGTTCCAGTTGGAGATCTCTCAGCAGTTCCGAATCAACCAATGAGTTCGGTGCGAAAGGGTCAATCATTGCGCGGACCAAATGAAGGTGGCTTCAATCCGCACTATTGCGGTCGCCGCGATGGGGATAAGCGCACGAATAATCGGCGTTGATATGGCGCTTTGCGCAAGGCGGCCCGTTCGGAAGCCGGTCGGTGGAGCGCATTGTAAGGCACTACTATTAATGTTGCTGTCGTTTGTGCGAGTTTTGTGGTATGGTGATGATTTGCGTAGCCCAGACGATCGCTTAGACGAGCGGAAAGTACGAGTTTCCGCGCCGTCGCGTCGTTTTGGCTTGCGTTGCGATCGTGATGACGGGCGGAAAGACTGGTTTCCGCGCCGCCGTGTTGTTTCCAGTTTTGTTGTTGACGCGTTTGCGAGCGGAAAGAACGAGTTTCCGTGTCGCGCCAGTTGTATTGTTGACGCGTTTTCGAATGGAAAGAATGAGTTTCCGCGTCGCGCCAGTTGTGGTGTGTACGCGTTGGCGAGCGGAAACAACGAGTTTCCGCGTCGCCCGCGCGTGTTGGTAACTGGTCTAACGGTCTCGGTGTGCCAGTTCCAGAGTTGCGCTTTTGTCGCTCATGTGGGGAAGAGTCTATCCTCTCTTACCCCTCCAACTCCTCCTCTTCGACGTGCTGCGCCCACGACTTCGTCTGCTCCGTAACGTCGATAGAGAGTGCCCCGTCCGAGCTCTCGCCGTCGTTGATCGCGTTCGCTGGTTGCCTTTGGTCTTCGCAGTCATCGATATGGAGCGAGCGTGTGATGCTTTTCGCGACATCGGTGGCATCGATCCTTGCTGCTGCACATGTCAATGCGGTGGAACGGCGAGAGGCAGTTTGGGCAATATTTATGCAGCAGGATTGCACGTAACCTTGCTTCGACCGCTTTGCCGCGGTAAAGGGGGCATAGTCGAATGCCATGCGCTCCGCCGCATAACCGGCATAGAACCGTAAATTTATCAGCGCGTTCTTCCGCATGTGCGCGATTGGCCGAGAAACGAGTCATTCTGTAAATGAGTCTCGTAGTTATGTCCGTAGGTGTAAAAAGTTACGTACTATTAGTTTTGGGTTGGGTGGCAAGTGGCGAATATATGTATGCCTGTATGTCTCGTGAAAGCACATTTTATATATACGTGTGATATACTTATGTACATATATATATATATATATATATATATATATATATATACATACTCCTTGTTTATTTATTTAATTTGTTTTGACTTGGCGAGGTACAAAACTGGGCCAATTCAGACTTACAGTCCCCGCGTACTTGTGCGATATTAAGTATAGACTAATGGTCTTACTCTTAAAAAATAAATAGCCTTACAGAGCTCTACAAAGTGGCGTTTTTATAAAAAAGTTGCAATTTATAAAGCGGTTAAAGTCTTCTTTATTTTCTATGAATTTGAGCGCAAGGTTTCGTGTTTGGGTACAAAAGAGATCTGTGTAAGGCGACCATTGGTATAAGATTTTATTTCATTACATTTGTTGCACTTTGCTTTTGCATCGAACAGACCTTTACGTAGTACAAATTGTCCGATCACTGTTTCCCCGAACACACCGTGAAATTTGTAATCTCGTAAAAGGTGTAATTTGTGGTTTTGTGGTGGGTTTCACCACTTGGCCTGGCACGGCGAAAGAAAATTTCCTCACTATGGGTTCGAGACCGGGCTAAGCCAGTAAATAGTACAACATCAGTGTTTCCAGGTAGAAACTAAGTAAGTATGAACAGTTTTTATTGCACATAGTTAAGTTGCAGTTTGAGAAGAAAAAAATGAAGATTAAACTGTGGCTTTATTCCAATCAAAAATATTTTGTTTAAGGAAATACGAATTTTTAAAAATTCGTACAAAAAAGGAAAACTTTTTATTCTTATATACAGCAAGCAGAAGCTAGCATAAATGAAAAAAAAACAAAAGGCTTCCTGGTTCTGTTTATTAAAAATTGTTACATGTTGACGATTTTTACATGCAAAAGGCGCTTTTTGATAACCAAACTGACGCTTTCTCACTACAATCTGCTGGCAACACTGTACAGCATGCACCACAAAATACATTTTTTTTCGCAGTTTATTGTCAAGTTGTGCACCTGACAACCAGATGGTGCTGCTTGCCATACATTTAAGAAGGCTCGCATTTCGCACAATCACGTATGTCAAACTTTGAGTTAATACCGTATGTCAAAGTTTTGACACAGCAATAACTTCCTGAATGACTGAAAATTTCATTCTGGGTTTGGCACGTGGTAAGTTTGTAGTAATTATTAAATTATTAGTGTTATTCAATTCATTCATTTCATTTTTCAGATTCGTATTGTAGGAAACTGAACGGGGCCTTCAGAAACCACACCAGACCGACCAATCGATTTCTTAGAGAATCGGAACACTAACTTGCAACGTTATACCTATTTGGTAATGGACGAAGCCGATCGCATGCTGGACTCGGGTTTCGAGCCACAAATCCGTAAAATAATAGAGCAAATTAGATCCGATCGTCAAGTGGTAATGTGGTCCGCAACTTGGCCCAAGGAAGCACAGGCACCGGCCGGTGATTTCTTAAAGGATTATATTTCTACAAACACTGGATCGATGAACTTATCAGCTAATCACAATATTCGACAAATTGTAGAAATTTGTCAAGAATCCGAGAAGCCACAACGGGTTATCAAGTTATGGAACGAAGCAGCACCTACCACTTATAATGCTGCTAACAACAACAACAAGATTATCATATTCGTCGAAACTAAGATAAAGATCGAAGAAATATTGCAAATAATTCGCAACGAAGACCACACCGCCACTTCCAGTCACTGTGATAAGTCCCAGCCTGAACGTGATTCAGTGTTGAAAGATTTTCGCAACGGCAAATCTAATATTTTAATTGCCACCGATGTGGCCTCCCGCGGCCTTGATGTAGAAGATTTGCTGTATGTCATCAATTACGATTATCCAAACTCATCTGAAAACTATGTACATCGTATTGGACGTACTGGTCGTTGCCAGCAATTAGGCACAGCTTATACTTTATTCACTCATGACAATGGAGAACAGGCACCGATCTAATTTCTGTGCTGGAGGAGGCCGGTCAGGTAACTCCACCGGCTTTAATGGATTTGGCACGTGGTAAGTTTGTAGTACTTATAAAATTATTAGTGTTATGCTTTATCACTGTTGCCAAATTGGTGCTTTTCGCACTAAATTTAGTGCTTTTCTTTATTCAAAACGCGAAAATTTTAGAGTTTAGTGCTTGGTGCGTTTTTTTTTTTGTTTTTAGTTTGAAGACACCAAATCTGTAAATCTTAACAAAAATGGGTCAAAATTTATAGCAATCGTAAGTTTTGTAAGAAACTTCACAAATATCAAACAAAATTGTGTCATAAGCGAGTGAGCATATGTTTACCAACAATATAGAGAATAATCAAAATCGGGTGGGATTTGAAGAGTAGACAGGTTTGTTGACACAAAAATATTTTTCCCAATATGAGCCAATGGATAATACGCTCCAATAAGACACATTAAAAAGGAAAATCAAATTTCGTTATGTTTCAGGTGTTAAGCGGTCGGAAAGAAAAGTTCTTTATGTTCCTTTAGTTCACAATATCATAAGAGACTGCAGTGTAGATTTAAACTACCACATAGTTCATGAAACTTCATTTCTGGTTGTTGCCTTCGTTTGATAGGAATTGTCGAAAAAAATTAAGCAATTATGCAGCAAATTAGAAAATAAGAACAATTATCTTAACGTCGGTTGAATGAAGATATTTGAATTTATAGAAAACAGAATAAATTCGAACGTCGAGCAAAAACATTCATTTTTTATTAATTTGAATCCCTACAATCCAATTTTGCATGCATACAAAGTAGAGGGCTGCATGAATTCATTCAAACCCGCATATGAATTCTTCTTCTTATTTGGCGCTGTAACCGCCTAAGCGATTTTGGCCGAGTCCAAAACAGCACGCCAGTCATTTCTGTTCTGTGCTAACTGACGAAAATTGAAAATGCCAAGTGAAGCCAAGTCCTTCTCCACCTGGTCTTTCCAACGCAGAGGAGGCCTTCCTTTTCCTCTGTTACCAGCATCGCGGCCCGCGTTGAATATTTTCAGAGCAGGAGCGTTTCTGTCCATCCGAACGACATGGCCAAGCCAGCGGAGCCGCTGAATTTTAATTCGCTGCACTATGTCTATATCGTTGTAAAGCTCATACAGCTCATCGTTAAATCGTCTGCGATATTCGCCATCACCAACGCGTAAAGGTCCGTAAATCTTTCGCAGAATCTTTC